AAAACCAGTTTTTTTGGAAACCCCTTGTATACAATAGAAATCTTGTAAAAATCATTATACAAATAAAATTTCAATCTTTTGATATCAGAAAGATATGAGTTTCTAAATTTCCTATCCCATAGATTCTTGATAGATTGAAGAAGATAATTTCTTTCTTACTTTAACAAAGAAAGAATTTTCTTTACTTAAGATTTTTACTCTTAATTCTAAGAAAAGATACAGTGAGAGCAAGAAGCTGAAATAGCAGAATTCCCATTGAGGCAAGAGGCCGTTTGAGGGAGCAGTTTGCAGATTCAGAGTCTGAAGGTCACTCGATTCTAAGAATACAGATTCAAGATCAAAAGTAAGGTAAAATTATTGTCTTTGTTAAATTTAGAAAGAATTCTTCTAATATCTTGAAAGAATCGTAGGGATTATTACTTTTCATGTTTGCAAAAACTTTATATAACATGTTATTCATAAAGCTTGTAAGGAATTATCTGAATAATGCCAGGTTATACAATTAAAGGATTAGATAATCTGTTAGAAAAACTATTGGAAAAAATAAGAAATATTTTTGCTCAACTAGAGATTATGGATATTTCATCTAAGGAATATGATAATCTTAGTAAATTACATGACAATTATATTACAGATTATTCTAATTTATTAGATCAAAGGATGGAATTATATATTAAAACTCGAAATGAGAGAAATAGAAGAATTTAAGAACTATCCCAATAAATTAAGGATATCTTGTGCAAATATGACAAATCCTTTCATTAAGGGTATTATAGACATTTTACCAAAAATGAATAGTAGTAGGCCATTTATAAAAATCTCCCGTATATATGTACACTCCTATTTCAAATATATCTGCAATATTCAAAAATAAAAAAGGAAAATGGAGAAATATAATGTCGTTAGAGTCAATGCGATACAGATCAAGGACAAATGAGAGAATTGAGATAAAGAAGAAGAGTGATATTACCAAAGGTTAGCCGCGGTGGTAGCGTCTGCGGCTGCGACTGCGGTGTCTTTGGCGGCGGAGTAGCCTAGCGGACTAGAATTGTTCTTCTGGAGCCGTATTGAGTCCAACGGAAGTCAAATCCAGCAATCGGAGGTGGGTTTTAGATTTCCGCATTTTAATTAGAAAGTCGCCTTTTAGAGATTCCGTAACAGAGTCGACGTTTGAGTTTACGTTTCAACTTGCATTTTGCAAGGAGATTTGCGAATAGGCCACCCTGCCCCGAATGGAACCGAAAATCACCATGCTATTAGGTAAGAACCATGTTTGGTGCACAATCTTAATTGACAATATTGTTAACAACATTCCAAGTGACATGCTATCGTTGGACAGTTCGAAAAATTATCATGTTTTTCAATTAATAATTTTTTGACATGTCAACATTGTCATCCAACATTGTATAAATAGTATAATTAATTAGGTGTTGGGATGAAAATAAGGAACATGGTCCATGTCTCAAATTTTTGTTCATGTCGAATTATTTTATTTTATTGTTACATTTATAATCAAATCGTATATAAAAATAAATAAATAAATGATTATTTCGAATAAGCAGCCCCCTTCTCCATTGCGATTCCCACATCCAAGCTGCCCAAGCATTGATGCTAAGAGCACTTATGTCTCCATTCTTATTTTTTTTGAGTATTTGTTAATAAAACCTTTAGTTTTGGTCTAGACAGGATATTATAGAACTTGTAAAGTATTATGATGTGCGCTAATTTTGCTTGGAAATGATAATAGTTAACCTCGATATCGTCGAAGATCAAATCCAACTCTATTGATTGTCATGTATGAATTAATAACCGCTTGTGCACCTTCTCTTTCTTTGTTGTTTTAAAGATTTCTACTTGTTGGATGACAATGTGGTTATATTAGGTACGAAACAATCACCCTTTTTAGAGATCAGTTTTGTTGTGGGAGTTTGTTTTCATTAAAAGATTGATATCATGAAGTTGTTTATCTAAAAAAAAAAAAAAAAAAAAAATTTTTGTGGACAAAACTCTAAATAGAAAGGTAAATTATACTACTATAATTAGATCTCGTGAAGTTAAAATTTGACTCGTAATTGCTCTCTTACAATAACAATGATAACAAAACAACTTTTAAAAACATTTTCATTGTGTGAATAGCTACAATTAGAAACATACTTTACAAAAAGATTGTTTATAATTCCTTACAATCTTAGAACATTTTTAATAGAATTGTGGATTGCACTAAAAAGTGTGTCAGATCGTCTCAAGATGCTTACATGACAAGAAAAATGTGGAGGATATCAAGAAAATCCTCATACATTTATTTACTTATTTGTATAATTTATCATTAGAGGAGGACGTTTTCATTCAATTTATAAGCTTTCCCAAACACGAAATATATCTAATATCTGCACCTATCTCGACCATTTTACCGCACTTTTGATTATGTATCAAAATTGATTTATATTGGTTTTTAGTTCGTTTTTGTTATTTTAGGATGGAAATCCGAGCATACATTGATGATATAAACGAGAAGAATTGACATGTTTTGAAGTCAAAAAATGGAACAATGAAAACAAGATGGAAATTGGATTTTTGATTAGTGTTCTCGCTCAAGTAAAATTAGCTTCATATTCAGGTAAATTGCACTTAATACCAATCAGTGCTTGATAAATCTGGCGTTCATAAACAAAATGACCAAAAATTTATGTACAGACATAAGATCAAGAATTGATTGCGAACATGGAGAAGAGGTTGATAGTTGGGACAGCAATTAGCAGGAAGATGGAGACGAGAGAAGGGAAGTCGACGCTGCATCCCGACCCGTCAGGTAACATAAGAGTGGAGAAGAGATATGGAGATAAATTAAGGTGATTTTATTTAGAAGGCATATTGTTAAAAAAGAGACTCACTACAAAATTGTTCGTTTAAAAAGCTTTCTATTCATCAACTTATACTCTATTCAACGTTGTCCACGTCTAAGTGTCTAACTCACCACACCTGGTATCCTTTTCCCCGACCTCATTAATTGAGCAGGGCTGCAAAGCAAACAAGCTTAGAAAATCTCTAACATAAGATTCAACTGTCTTCTTTCAAATGATCAAGCTAGTCGTTTTTTCCAAACGCGACAATGTAATTCCACAAATGGATTATATTAAATCCAAAAAAGTTTCATCCTAATGAAAGACAGAAGGCAGGAAGGGGAAAACAACAACTTCAATTCCGGAGCTATTCAGAAAGTCCCACATTTTTCGGAAAGCAAACGAAATTAATATGAGCATTCTTAGGGACTACTCTTACACGGGGTACTAGTTCCATTATGTACATTCTTACCAGTAGGCTTGCTTTTATGGAAAAGCACCAAGCATGACTGGATAATGAAGCAGAATACAGTAATCGAAGGACTCCAATTAGCGAGCGCCTTCCTGCTTTATGTGGAGCCATGCAGGTCCCCATTCACCTTTGGGCTGTCTTCCGCAGCTGAGCAAGGGATATCGCATAAATGCACAAAACATATATTCAATGAACTTTGTAGACAGATGCAGATGCAAATGTATCCATGGTTCAGATGGGGGCTAAGAGAGAATCACCAGTCAAAATAAATCCTTGAAGCAAGATGTGAGCTCTCTTGGATTGCTCTGTAGTATCCCTCGTAATTTGAATGATCTTCCCTGTTACATTGGGTTTATCTTCAATCAATTCAACATCTGCTCCAGATAGCTGTTTACAGCAAATTCATGATAAAGAGTTATTTCCTCCTCTTAGCTAATGACATCAAAGTACGACGAACTGGAGAAGCCATACTCACATGACTGATCACAGTAAACTTGTTGTTTGATTCTGTAACAAGCCTAGATGCCACACTTGTTGGTATGACAACTTCCAGCATACTTTTATGGACAACTGGCACTGAGAGTCTGGAACACAAAAAAAAAAAAAAAAAAAAAAAAAAA